TATATATATATATATATATATATATATATATATATATATATATAGGCTGCTAAAATTTATAATTGATCTTTGTCCCTGGTAATTAGTTTTCGACAAAGCTGTTCTAATTTTATGTTTCTCGTATCACTCCACAGTCCCTTTCTTCTCACATAATAACATTAACATTCAAAAGAACAATTTTTGTCTTGTTTCTCAGAAACAAATATCTAAACATCCTTAAATTGTGTACTTGTATAAATTATTTTCTTATGCTTTTAAATGCTTTTTTTCAATAATAAACCTTACTAACTTTTGTATTTATGATTTAAAAAACAGTTCTGATGTGGTCAGAAAATGAACTAAAATAAAGAAATATTAAAATATAATCTCTAATGTCTTAATATGTTGTAATATCATATGCAGAAAATATATCTAGTTTTAAGAATGTTTATATTTTTTCACTGGAAAACAAGACAGAAATATGATTGATTATATGCAGTATAAGCTGGATAATGTACCTGGACATTATCGCAAAATTAACCCCTTCAGGGTGATAACACATTCACCGTTTCAACAAAAGAAAGTCAGCACAGTATTTTCTCCTTATACACCTCAATAGCAGCAGTATTTTTCCTCAGAAGACATTTTTCCTAAAAAAAACTTAAACTTGGAATTTTATACACTAAAATGAGCACAGTCACAGTGTCCAGGCAAGAGGATTTTATTTATGCATATTTTCCTTCATAAATCTGCTGTAGTCTGATGCTGATGTGCTGATGATGGCCGTGTGTCGCTTTGACAGGTGAGTTTGGTGAGGTTTGCAGTGGCCGTCTGAAGCTCCCCAGCAAGAGAGAAATCTACGTGGCCATCAAAAGTCTAAAGGCAGGATACTCAGAGAAGCAGAGGCGGGACTTCCTGAGCGAGGCCAGCATCATGGGCCAATTCGACCACCCCAACATCATCAGACTGGAGGGAGTCGTTACCAGATGTAAGTGACTGACATGTACACTCGTCTTCACCTTCACCCTCACCCAATGGCTTTTAAATGACGGATTGAAAAGTTTAAGTAAACATACACTGCACTGTAAGCACTGAGGGAAAAATAAGCTGTTCTCAAAAGTGCTTTCAGAAATCATTTTGCAGGGATTCAGTTGCACAGTTGAGTTCTTGGCTCGGTACACTTTTTATACAGCATGGCTGAATAGCACAAGTGTGACAATATATGATTATTGTGACTACACCAACAACCCTTTTCCACCACAGCGGTCACAAAGTGTTTTCATGGCGTTGTGATTAAGAGCCAGATGGAGGTGTGCTGTACTCACTGACGTGCTCAGCCTTGGGGAGGACAGAAACCGAGCTCGACTGTTCCACCTGAATGGCTCTGTTGAGTTGGATCCAACCACACAAGAGGATTGGAAGACAAAGACTCGCTACAGCAGATGTATTACAGAGCAACCCTAGATTCCCGCTTTAAACATGACTAAACAAATTATCTCTAGAATTAAGTTTTCATTTGGAAATGTTTGGCTACTTGGGAACTTTTCATTAGGGAATGTTATGCAAAAGTAAACCGAAGTACAGTATTAAATGACTAATAAAATGTACACTTAACTTGTCCCCCACTGTTTGTGCTACAGACAGTTCAAGTGACTTGTTGAGGAGAGGTCTTCTGTTGCTTTTCTAAACAACTGGAATTATGCTTTTCACCTGGTAGATGATAAATGTAAAAAAATGTAACTCCTAGAAACCAACCAAAAAATCCTAGCAGACATATAAGAACTTGCCAGAAACCGCTCAGAACATCCTAGCATTGCAGTAGATACAGAGATAGACTTACACTGTGTTATGTGTGTTAGAAACCTTTCAGAATCTCATTATCTCATCAGTAATGGGGGAGAGCTTATCGGAGAACTTCAGCTTTCACCAGATGCCAAACAAAAACCCTTTCTTTCGAGCGTCATTATGACTGAACAAACATCTGCGGCTTCGCACTACCTATAGAGCACAACAATGAGAGAATGTATATTTATGACTGCATGAATATTAATAATTTAAATAGTTCATTGGAAGTGTTTTAAGTGTCTTAAATTCAGCAGCGCACATATGAACAGCGATGTCTCGACATTTCTTATTCATTTTTCCGCTCTGTTCTCTCTAATGCGGAATGCTAATTTTGACCTTTTGTTCGTATTGGTTTGTGCAGTTTACAGAACTATTTTCTCCGTAAATCGAGTTTGCGTTTCATTTTGAAAAGGCAGACGCTGCCTAATTGCCTGTTTTCCAGTTATAAGTGGTGTATTTATGTTCTGAGCAAATATCAGGGGCACGGGGTTAAAGCTCAGTTCAGTATCTCTCAGAGTACGCAGATTCTTTGGAAGAACAAAGTAGAGGTTTAAGTGAGAGTAATGCATTCAACATTAGGCTGCACTCTGACCTCTGTCTTCGTGGAATACACCAGTCCTCTGTTGGAATCTAAAATAAGCCCACTTTTGACAGGGTGAAAGAGAGTTAAGGGGAAGATGCAGAGAGGAAATATCTGACATTCTTAGAAAAAAAACAAAAAAACATGAGGGGTTATAAATGTACAATTCTGCTCCAGTGTAATTATAGTTACTAAAATTAAAACTAAAACCATTAAAAATCATTTTCATTACCTGAAATAAAATAAACCTTAAGTGAAATAAAATAAAATATTTAAAAGGTTTTTTTTTTAGCTAGTTTCCAAGGCAACCTTTTTCATGTGTATTTACTTTAACTTGATGTACTAAAATAACTAAAACTAAAACTGAAATAAAAATTTATAAAACTATAGCCGTATCTCAATGTATCTCAATGCTAAAATAACACTGTTCTGCTCATATGTTTACTGATTTTAGAATCTGCAAGATGCTTGTCATTTAAAAAAGAGATCATAAAACATTTTTATTTAGATCTCTGATGAAGCTATTTCAGATATTTACATATAAAAACTGAATTTACACAATTTATGTCATGTTTTCTGATCATTTGTGATTTAAATTTTGTCTTGTGGAATATACTTAATTATTTTAATTTTAATATATATAATTTAATATATATATATATATATATAAACATTTTTATGTTTAAGATTTTATTTCACTTATGCGCTAAGCATCTTACAGATTCTGAAAGGGTAAAGTGATAGTCATGTCACTGTCCATATGGCTGCAGTATTTTGGCCTTGGGGGTTGTGACTATTCACACGTATGACAGCAGAGAGGCAATTTCACAGATCAGTGCTCAGCAGGTCAGTGGCTGCAGGGCTGAGGAGAGGGCAAGGGAACATCAGGGACAGCTCTCTAACCTTTCACTCCAAACAGTTTTTCAAAACATCCATTTCTAACAGCTCCCAGCATTAAAATCCTTCCATTGTGATTGCCACTCACTGTAGCACCAAAAAACAACCTTTGGGATACTTAAAATCCTTTAAATATGAAGAGTGGTGTGTCGCTGTCTATTATTGTACCTTTGATGAGCTGTATATTTCATAAACAATCATTCTTTTGAACAGATTCTTTTGAATGTTTTAGTCAAACTGATTTTTAAAGTGTTGGTAATTTACTCTGTATTTAACACTGCAGGCTTCCAGTGGTTATGGAAAACTTAAAAATATCAGTGAATGTTAAAAACTGGAAATACCAGTGACTTTGTAGGGATGAATGGACTTAGCTTTAATATATTTTATTGGTGTTCATTGCTTGTTGTGAGTGCAGTCTCTATAAACTCGTTTTAAAACATTATTAAAATATCCAGTAATCCTGAACAGCTGCAAAAGTAATGGAAAAAATCATAGAAATCCATTTGTAAACATTGGCAAAGTTTTGTGATAAACAGTGATAAACAGCAGCATTTCATAGACTACAAAACTATATCAAAAGACATTTAAAATGCTGCTGGAAACACGTTTGAATGATGACTCAAATGAGTTAAGTGGTTAACTGGTTCTTTGAATAAGCCGACTTACCAAAATGAATCTGATCTCCCAATGCTATCCTTCAGGGCTCATTTTTAATAATGTACACAAAGAAGCTTTTGTAAATGTAGTTTTTATTGTGTTTTTTCTTTAAGCTTGTGGCCTCAGTGATCAACAAATCCAAAACAGAGCTCCAATCAACAGTGCTTTATCAGAATAATGTTCCAAACTCTCCCTCTCGATTTGATTGCTTCCATTGTTATGTAGATGGTGGGTCTGGTGTGACTTAAAAAAAAGCTTTAGAGATAGCCCTTTTGATTGCTATCTCGTCATTTGTCAGAAAAGTTCTCATCTCTCCGTATCTCATTTCCTCCTTTATGTGCCAACAATCGCCTAATCTTGAAGCATTCAATTTGGAGGAGGCTATTATCTCCTCTCATCGTGCCCTTTCCACCGCAAAGGATTTTCCTCTTAACGAAGTGGTTGCTATTTCGAGAAAGCATTCATTAAGACCGACACTCCTTTGTTTAGGGAACAATGAAAGTTTAAAGTCTTACGAAGACTCTTGTGTTAAATTACGCCAACTCTTGTGGTAGATTTAGGGTTGCGACGTACTGGGTCTCTGTGCGATTCTTGCCAACAGCGAGGACTTGGAAAGCAACTCAGTGCTAAGTACATCATGTGTCATTTAGTTAAAGCACTATTTGGAAAATCAATAAGATTGTAAAGTTGAAGAACAGCATCTTTTGTTCATAATCATAGCAGGAGGACGCAAAGTGGACTATCAGGTCATCAACCTGACCAATATCTCTTTAATCCTATATATTGGATATCAAAGCTTAATATATGGAGATATGAGTTCTGCTTTTACCACGGTAACTGCTGCCGAAATAAACTGCTTTAATGTGGGGTGTAAAATCAATACTCTATTTGCAATAGGGGTTCTCGCTCTATGGATGAGCCAGCATTGGGAATGGGCCAATCTGCTTGCCTGATTTGAGCTTGTTAAGGGGAGTCACTGCTGGGGTCCTGATGGGACAACTACAGGCCAAATGTAAAGGCTCTGGTGTGCCGCTTTACACACAAAAATATGTTTATACACACACGCTCAAGCTGCTGCGCCTCTCTTCCCATACGTAATTACACAATCTGCCTCGTATCTGATGCCACAAAGCATTTTTATAATGTACATGCACTCTAAATGTCAAATTGCCTGCATCAAAGGTCTGTTTCCTTTAATGATTATTCTACAATACCAGTTAGAACTAAATCACAGGGGTGTTGCTTTACACAGATGAGGTGTTATGTGATATTGATTACTTGAGTTTGTTGCAGGTATTCATTTTTTTCCGAACGTGCGATACAATCATGTAGGTCAGAGGGACTCCACTGGGAATAGATTTATCCAGCGATTTTCCCCGGAAAAAATTCAAGAGATTCAAGAGATTCTGTGCAAAATGCCTTTGACAGCAGCGTGCTGTGACAGCTTTATTTAAGTGGATATGGTTTTTAAGTCTCTGTCCTAGATATTACAACTCAAGCAGACCTGGATCCATGCTGTTATTTTCACCAGAGACAATGACAGCTTAATCTTTATTTCTGTACTTTTATAGTCGCAGTTACATTTTACATTTATGCATCTATCAGACACTTTTATCCAAAGCAAAAACAATACAACAACATAAATTATTCATAATTTTTGGTGGTTACGGTAGAGGTTTTTTTTTTTTTTTTTTTTTGGATGTTTCTTGAAGGTAGCAAAGGATCAGAGTTGGCAAATTCATTCTGCCTAGGTTTGAGAAAATAATTTTGTGCCTTTTATATTTATTTATATATTTGTTATATTTCAAAATTTTTGGGTGGGTACGATTTTTTAGTGTTTCGAAGGAAGTTTCTTATGCTTACCAAGGTTGCATTTATTTGATAAAAATAGAGTAAAAACTGTAAAATTATGAGATATTATTACAATTTAATATAACTGTTCTATTTTAATATATTTAAAATGTAATTTATTCATGTAATGGCAAAGTCTTTAGTGTCACATCCTTCAGAAATCATCATACTATGCTGATTTGGTGCTCAAGAAATATGTCTTATTATTATCAATGTTAAAAACATTTTTTTTTTTCCCCAGGATTCTTTGAATTTAAAAAAAAACAGCATTTCTTTGAAATAAAATTTTTTCAACAATGTAAAGGTACTGTACTTTTCATTAATTTAATGCATCCAAGCTTATTTCTAGAGTGAAAGTATAAAACAGTATAAAGTATACAAGTATGTAATTATTAAAAACTATAAAACATTTTATAAATTATGTTATTTCTCAGAGTTTGTTTTTAACCCATAACAGCATCATATGTCACTGTAAGAAAAAATCCATAGAAAAGATTATGGGCATTTCTTTTAATCCTAAAACACAACACAATTTAATGCGTAATTCAAAATAAAAGAAAAACACTTATAAAAAATCAATAAGGACAGTTCCTTCATATTAACAGAACGTTGTGCCAGACAGTTGCATTGTCTTCAGAAGAATGATTTGTAAACCTGCCTGCCTGAACCATATTTAGTGTCACCCTCAGGGTTTTTTTTTTTATCTTCTCCGTATGTAAATCTATAACCTATCCCTCTGTTGAAGCTCTGTACCTGAGGCAAGTGAACCGTACCGAGCCGTACCGTGCCGTACCATGCAGTGGAAAAGCGCCATTAGTAAGTCACTAGTGACATTAACTGCTAATTCACTACCGCACACACAGAGCTCATTGTAGACCACTGCTACTCCAGCCATGCAGGGTTCACGAAGGGTTAAGCATATTCGTCTCCTTGTAGAAACAAAGCAAATAGTGGCACCAGGTCTTGAGGGTGAAATCACAGAGATATGCCTGCCCTCTGTTCACAAGACACGTGATGCTATTGCAGGAAGCCCTCAATGAGCTCCACTGTGCGCTTTTGAGATAGCGAATATACCGTCTGCACCGGATAGAGCTGCTTGTGTGTGCTATAACATCTTTGGTATCTCATCAGGAAAATTGCCACATCAGATGTCCAGATGATCACTTGATAACGCATGAATTAGAGGGGAAATTGAAAACCCCTTCAAGGTTGCCAGAGATTAATGTCAAGAGCGAATCTTTCAGAGTTGTTTTCCGAATAGCTCATGATAAGGACTGTTTTATTAGTTAAACGCCTGCTGTAACACTTAAACCCACGTATAAAATCAACATTAGATGACCTTTCAAAAAGATTTACCAGAGCTGTTTTGTTATGAGATTTAAGACAAAGTTCAGTCAAGTGTTTAGTATGAAATTAATTTCCTTTGTAAATTCCAGCTTTTGAAACCAATTCCGTTCTGGAGAACACCCACATTAGAGATTTGATTTGATAAAGGCATGTACGTGATCCTGTTAAATCCTCACATCTGCCCTCACAGTATTTTCAGCTCATGTTTTCTCTCTCTGGGCTCGGCCATAGGGTGTTTTTCTGAGATCAGGGCCCCGGGAGGCTGCCGTAAGCTTCTCTGATAGGATCCACTGCCTTGGCCATCCTCTCTTTCAGGATCAATGCCAGTCACCGCTTCTACTCACTTTCTGATAAAGCATTCACACACACATAGAGACATCAGATGGCCACCCATTGCTGTTTCATTCCCAGAACACAGTGCACCGCTGTCCATTCCCCCTCTTTCTCTTTCAGCGGCTGACAGCTACATTAGTCTGCCTCCGAAAAGTAAAAGGTATTGCATTTTTTCCCTCTTTTTTTTCGGTTGAGACATGGGGGTTTGGGGGTGTCATGGAAGGCATTTATTTTGGTGAGATAGTGATTTAATTTTAGGTGATTTATAACCAGCCTGTTGCCATGGTGATGATCGGAGGGGGGTGATCAAACCTGTTTTTCACAAACTCATAGAGACATATATATATTTATATACACACATCGACCTCACGTCCCATGACTCGAGCGCATATCTCTGTATTCCAGAGTGGAAATGTCCGGAATGTAAGTCATTTATCATCACTGACATGGCTGGTGTTTACATGTCCCTGAGAGAGACAGGGACAACAGCCCACAACTGAGCATTAATATACACTGACACACATTCTGAGTGCTCATATTTTTGGGAGTAGTAACCAAGGCCTTTATTGTTTTTTTGTTTCTTTTCAATTTATACATTGTTTGCATCCTCATTTACTCCTATGCCCATTTTGCATCAATGTTGTTATTGGTAACTGAAATGATTTTTTTTTGGCAAATACTGTCAAATACTAGTACTAAAAATACTAAAACTAAAACCGAAACAAAAATGTAAGTTATATAGAAATATTTAAATAAAATAAAAATGAAAATATAAAAAAGTACTTCAAAGTATTAATAAATACTATAATAGTATATAAATAACACTAAAATAAAACTGTTTTGCATGTCAAAAATGGCTGAAGCTGAGTTTATTGCCCTTTGCTAAGCTCCACCTTTGGTTACTGTTGCTATAACAGAAACCGGAATGAACTGATGATTTATTTTTAACTTGTTAAATTGCACATAATTGCTAATAATACAGCTTGTATTGTTTCTTGGAACCTTGTTACGCATTTCAACACACACACACACACACACACACAAACATATGTATGAAACTTTAAAATTGTGTGCAGAACCAGAAAAAAATGCAGGTCCTCCATATACTTACATTTGAAAAGAGTAAATGCGAATGTGAAAATTGCAGACAGCATAAATGATGTTATGCAATTCTAACATTTGTTTTGCAGGTGTACAGTTATCGAGAAAGAAGATAATTTAGACCCTTTTCTGAAATTGTCGCTAAACTGTTTTTAATAGTGTTTATTTGCGTTTAATTTGCTTAAACGTGAATGTTTATCATTAACACAACATCTCTCTGGGTGTTAACATAATGGCCTGTTTCCTGCTATCTGAGGCACTGGAAGCCCGCTTAGCATTCAGCGTCTGTAAATGAACCTATAAGCCTCCGCTCTGGAGACCTACTTATGCTTGGCGTAGGATCATACACACACTGATATGCCCCTTTAACAAGGGCAAACATGGTGTACACCAGCAGGATCATATGCACCAACTAATCAACAGGCACATTTGACACTGTCATTTTACCCCAGCGGTCACGTTTGGATTCGTTCCGTCAAATCTGCGCTTAGACATTCTGTCAAATAAAGCAAGGGTCGCTAAATTGTTGAACTCTCGGTGACCTGTGAGTGATGTATTTAGGTCAGAGGATTGAGAGGGATATGACAGAGCTTGTTAACCGAGACCCAACAAGGCACTGGAACATTTTTCTGTTTATTTCACTCTGTCGCTATATTTCAGATATCGGTTTGCATATGATGCCCTGCGGTAGATTGGTGGCAGCAGTAGTATAACTTATGGCTATTAGTGTGTTTGTAAGACTAAAATTCTCTTTCAAAACCCGGTTGCTGCATTGTTGCCTATCTACATTAGGAGCAAAGGTACAGTGTACTTAACAGCGTTAATGAGGAAAAGAACTACAATCCCATGAAAAGAAAATGTCTTAAATGAAAAATTATACATAAATGCAAAATTGTTGATTTAAAGATGTTAATTGCATATATAGAAACAACATTTTGTTTATTGCAAAATATGCATATTTGTACAAATGGGCATGTAGTTTGAAAGTGTAGGGAGAATCATGCAGAATCATGGGTAATGTAGTTTTTCACCAGGGGTTTTGTTCTTGAACAGTTATTTAAAAAAAAAAAAGTTAAAATCGTGTGCACTAGAAGCTTCAACAGAAGCAATCAATTAACAACAATAAAAAACACCAACAACAGATATCAAACACAAATATTGAGTGAAACGGTGACAAAACTAATGGAATTTATGTCCACTTTTTTTTTGCAAAGGATATAGACGTGCTCTATTAGCATTTGGCTAAAATGAGACAGCATCATTTTCTGACCTACATTTTGGACCCTTTCTGTCAGAAATGCACTTCTAATGCTTTAAGTTTAGTAATTGTTGGAAGTTAATGGCCTTACACATGAAGAAAACTATGCTAATGTTTACATGTGTGAGTTTCTTAGGCTAATCAGTAGATTAATACTTGTCTGACTCGATCATGCTTGTAATGAGAGGGCAGATGTGGTGTGCTCAGGTGACTAATACTTTGTTTTCTCAGTTTGGGTTCTAGAGTCATTTGTAAGACAAACTAAGTGTACTTTTAGACGTTAAAGATTACAGATCTTCCTCTCGCTACCTGCCACCCATCACAACAGGTGCTGTGCCCTCCCATCGGTTCTCACAGACTGTCCTGCCCGCCCATCATGGCAACAGAGCTCTCTAATTGGTTCTCAGTGGATTAGCCAGGGTTAATTAACTGCTGTCTTTGATGGTGGAAGGCTCTGATGAAGGTCTGTCATGCTGAATAATGGGGCTGCCCGGGAGAGAGGCTGAGAGTGTGGCCAGGGTTTAGCCTCCTCTTTTCTCTCCTTCATTCCTGTTTCAGCATCTCAGCTATAAAGGATTAATGACACCATTACCATGATTTATTTCTTTGTGGATCTGTGTAGAATCATCGATCTGTTAGGACATTTTTATGTTTTTTCCCCTTTCATCTAGGCTGATGGTAAATCTTGTGTTTTTGTCTCTTTTTTTTCTTTCTATCTACAGGCAAGCCCGTGATGATTATTACAGAGTACATGGAGAATGGATCGTTGGATACTTTCCTGAAGGTGAGGAAGGCAAAACGCCTGTGCCACAATTCCACACCAATGTTCGCATGCCATTTAAGATGCTGCCTTACATTTAATTACCTACAGCCAATAAACGAGCATCGCTCAAGGGTATAAGCCACGGATACCTCCCTGAAAGTCTATTACTGGAGGGAAATTAAGCATGGAATGGATGCCTGGTGCAGGCAGTGCGATTCAGTTGCTCTCTGTCCTCAAATCCTGTCTGTTGTACAGCAAACGTGCCAAGGTTATAATAATCTGAGTTTTGGAATTTGCAATACTTTCTGAAAATTCAGTTTTGTTTTAGTTAGTTTCAATACAGTTTTTGTTTCATGAAATATTCTTTTTTCGTTTTTATATACTTATTTTTAGTTAAATATTTTCTCCCAACTCAACAGAATATTTCCAAAAATATATATTTTTGGTGTTATATTTTACTTTATTTTTCGGTGAAAGTTTTGTTTACATTTTATTTCTTTTTATTTATTTGCAATATTTTTTTTTATGATTATATTATTTTATTTCTGCTTACAAAAAGTAGTTTTTGCCTTTGTTTTAATATTCAATAATAACACTGGAGCATGTATTCAAGTGAACGTGTTACGAATGTGTCTTGTATAGAGACAGGAAGTGAGTAAATGAACTCTGTAGATTTATAATAAAGGTGCACTCTCTCCACCAAGCTGCCATAACGTCTCCTCCGCAATCCTCGCTAATTTATTGCCGCCTTTGTCACCCAGCGGATCAGGCCACGAAGTTTATTACACGCAGCACAGATACGTTTTCCTTTAAGTCAGGACTCTTTTTAATTGCCTACACTTTGAGAAAATGAAAATGAAATCTAACACCCCCACCCCTAAAAACGGGCCTGTCTGAGACTTTCGATCTTTCTGCAGCGTACATAATGAATCCCATAAATAGCCCCTTAGCCCACATAAAAAGCTAATATAATTATGGGGTCAGTTTTATGGCTAATAGCTCATAGTTCGGCCACCCAGCTACATGTGTTTAATTAGAGGACAGATCAGTTAAGCATCACTTACTAGTACAAAAACAAATGATTTTTCTGTGTCTCTATTTCTGCCTCTCTCTGCTCTTCCTGTAAGTAGCGTGGCTTCTGACACTAGATTGATAACAACCAGTTGATCAGACCAGACGATCAATCAGCAGCCACATTTCACAAAACACAGTGTAATTAACTTACCCACATTATGATGCATGAAATACTATATGAGCGCATGTTTCAGATTGATATTGCTCGGAGGGACAAAAGTGGGGGTTTTAACAAGATTAGTGTACGGCCCAGATATGGAGATTAAGACACTGGGCTAATTGCTCATTGCGAAGATTGTTTTTGAGGCAAAATGGATGTCCGGGCTCTTTTGTTTAGCTAACAGAAGCACCAAATCCAGATGATTTCACATTAATTAAGGCCTGTAAACATTTGAGCAATTATGGCAGAAAGAGCAGTAAAACCAGAGGTCAGACTCTTTTACATAATGAATCAGAACTCAGGGCAAAACCATTGGAACTGTGAAAATGGAGTGTTTGAAAAATGCATGAATACTGAATAATGTAATGTAAAAATGTTAACAAAAAATGAAATGTAACATAGCAACTAAAATATCTAATACTAAAGATATATAAATATAATAATTTAATATTAATTATTTTCTGAGTAATGTAAATTTTTTACAGAAAATCTTCAGATATTGCTAAGCTAATGTAATCTATCAAAACATTATTTAAACATTTAAATATAATATAACAATTTAACATTAAAAACTACATTTAAATAAAATAAAAATGTTCTATGTTGTTAGTATCTGATATTAACAAATTACACCTTAGTTTTTAACCTTTGTTTTTAGCGTACACCACCTGTACAATCTATATAAAATCACAGATGACTTTTCTTTCTCCTGCAGAAACATGATGGGCAGTTCACGGTCATTCAGCTGGTGGGGATGATGCGTGGAATCGCTTCAGGAATGAAGTATCTGTCTGACATGAGCTACGTCCACCGTGACCTAGCGGCACGCAACATCCTGGTGAACAGCAACCTGGTGTGCAAAGTGTCCGACTTCGGCCTGTCTAGAGTGCTAGAGGACGACCCTGAAGCTGCGTACACCACACGGGTAAAGCACCTTTCCCCCATCAAGGTTTTATTCGATCCTAGAGTGAGTCATCATCAATTTTACACAAACAGGGAATGAAGGAAGAACTAAACGGATAAAAAATGTATGTTTTTTTTTTTGTTTGTTTCGTAACATCTTGTTTGCAGTACAAATTTGAGTGCCACTTTAGTTGTTTATTTAATGTTTTTTTCAGAGCTAGCTTTCATCATTGTCTCAGTTTTTCACTAATACGGTAAATCTGACTCATTCCATGAGAACTCAGTTGAGAAATAATGATTGAAATGTCTCTGATCTCCTTGAAAATGTCTCTTGTGTCTTTTGAAAGTGTTTGATTGCGTGAAAGAACTTCACCGAGAGAAAGAGACAGAGGAGGGATGTTTGAGAAGCGAGTTGGCTTTCTCAGGGGTCAGTTTGTCTGTCAAGCCAGCATGTATTAATTACATCCGTTTCTGACAGGACAACCGCCTCCAAACCCCCTACACTCGTTCCTCTGTCTCCTTCTCAGCTCGGTAATTGGTGAGCACCCTGTGGATGCGTATGAAGGCCAAGGGCAAGAAAGGGGCATGTGTGTGTGTGTGTGTGTAGCCGTCGGTGTCCACTTGGGTGGACAAAGCACAAACTCAGCAGGCGAATCTGTTGTCACATGCAAACAGGGGAGAAAAGTGCTCGCACAACCCTGAACAGACCTCCGCAGATTGCCTTTTGATGTCCGTGTGTGCGCATCTAAGGCAAAACGTGTGTTTCGCACGGGTAGGAGCTCTTAAAATATAAGTGGCTCTGACATTCAGTGCCCCGTGCCCTGTTGCTTCAAGTGCTGAAATCATGAAGAGACAGAACCCTCCAGGCCACGCGAAGCAGCCGTTTATGTGCCGTGACTTTATATAATTAAAAAAAATGGTAAAGATCGCTTTTTGAAATTCTCTTTAAATGATTTTACCCCATGGGCCCCGCTGCCGTTCTTTGGCACTCTCGTCACGTATGTCTATACAGAGTACAGCCAGTTTGTCTTTTCTTTGACTTTGACTGTAGAGATTAACTACAAACCACTGCAGCTATTTAAAAAGACATTTAGGAAAATACAGACCCTGCCATAGTGCTGGAATAGGAAAAGACAAATATTGTCTCTATTCTGCTGTTTGTTTATGAGTGTTTCTTTAACTTTCAGAAAATAAACTCTATTGAAACACACTTTTCACACTCTCATCAATTTTATTAGTCTACTAACAATAGGCGCGTTTCCATTACCCTTCAAATTGCGCAAATTGAAATTGCGAATTGAAAATACGCCTAATAGAAACACGTCAATTTCGCAAAAACGCCCATATAACGCAAAAAGTTTTTCCGCTCGCATGAGGTGGTTTTTCAGGCAATGCGAAAAAGGTTAATGTTAACGCCGTCATTTCGCAATACTTTTTTATCGACATTTATAAAATATCGACAAAGTTTTGCGCAAATCTGTAATGGAAACGCGCCTAATGTCCCACAGTGGAGAATTATTTTCAGTGGAGAATTAGTTTTGTTTTGTTTTTAATCATAGAAATTGCACCACAATGTAATTTCCTCCACATCTCAGAATATATATTTGTGTTTAATAACATTTTGTATCCTTGCTAAATAAAAATATAAATTTCTTCCAAAATAAATTAATCTTGCTGACCCCAAACTTTTAAACAATGTGTATGTGTATTTTCACACTTTCTGCATAATTTGACAAGTTACAGCTTCAGTGGAGATGATGCACAATAAAAATGTTTTCTTTGTTTTCTTTATATGTCATGTGTTTCATATTTCATCTCAAACTCTTCACTGACTGTATGATCTCTTTGGTAACCAAGTACACAACATTTTTGGAAAACTTGTAAATGATGCCACAAAAATGTGGGACGACTGTATTGTCGTAAAAGTATTGAAAATGCTATTATTTTTTTTTTTTCTCGCAATAAATAATAGAATGGTTTCACTCTTTGTTTAGATGATCATAGTTTTAACTGGTTATAATTCTGAATTCATAAAACTGGATTTTCACATTTTAAGATTGAAAATCTGGGTTTGGGGTAAAACAATAAAATCTACAAAAGGTTTTTAGTGGCCTTCATATACTGTAACAAAAAGAAAATAAATTAAATTGGTTAGTTTAAAAAAAAATGCCAATAGGACACAAAATTGCCTTTTTTTGTCGTATTTAGGGCGGAAAGATTCCCATTCGATGGACGGCACCTGAGGCTATAGCGTACAGGAAGTTCACCTCAGCAAGTGACGTTTGGAGTTACGGCATCGTCATGTGGGAGGTGATCTCATATGGAGAGCGGCCTTATTGGGACATGTCTAATCAAGACGTAAGTGTCCTTGAGAAACTGGAAACACACATGTTCTCATGTGTATTGTTTAAATTGAAATCTGCTCCACTAATATCTAATATCTCCACTAATATAATTTCTGCTGAAGCCTCGGGGGGGGTGGGGGCAGAGTCTCCAAGCAGTGTGTCCTTGCAAACATTCAGAGAGTAACATCTTCCTGCAGTGATGTCTGTATAGAAACCGCTCGAATGACAATGGTTTTTAGGAGCCTCGTAAACGAGAGCTGTCCAGCTGCTCCTGTCTTTAATACAAGCCAGTTAAACACACTACATCCCTCACTGCTGTATTATTCTAACGCTTTCTGACTTCTCCCTTTATTACCATCAGAGGAAATGTCAAAGAAATCTTGAAGACCTTCAGGGCACCGCAGATAATGATTTAGATCTGGGCTCCCTCTAAAACTAAGAAATGAATGTTAGAATGTTTCCTGTCTAAAAGAAAATAGCTCCTTTGATTTAAGAACAGGAAGTGGCAGAGAACAGGAGCAGTGAGTTATAGTCATATAGGAGATGTTTTGAACCATTGAGTTGAGTTATAGTCTGGTATATTATAGAAATGTGTTACTTGCATGAATATACCATGAAAGCACCATAATAGCACACCAGGAGCTTGATATTAAACCAGTAACACTTTTTTCAAATGATAAAACATTTAAAAAAAATCCAACAAAAGGACAGAAAAATTCAGAAAGCTGTTTGAAGAAGATCCTATGTTAATGTATTATTGTTTTGTAGCTGTTCACACATTAAGATCTATATTAACCAGTTTTACTGAAGTCAAAGATATTATTTTATTTATCTGAATGAGGTTACAGATACTAAAGTAGTTGCATAGGAAAATCAGATAGAAATGTGTCCTTAAATATACAGTTGCACATTTTTACTTTGTACATTGTATTGTACAGTATTTTGATGCATGTGTATGTCTTTCAGGTGATTAAAGCTATAGATGAGGGTTACAGGCTGCCTGCTCCAATGGACTGTCCCGTAGTCCTCCACCAGCTGATGTTGGACTGCTGGGAGAAGAGCAGAAGCGAACGGCCCAGATTCGGGCAGATCGTGAACACTCTTGACAAACTGATCCGCAACCCCAACAGTCTGAAAGAGCTCACCAACAGCTCAGTCTGGTGAGAACCTCATATGAACCCTCACTTCATTCAAATCCAGCCGATATTTGTGCATACGTAAGCTTTTCACACTGTTTTCAACCCTGCATTAAGGCCACTTTTTGACCCTGGATTAGGTAATGCTCACACTGCAATAAATCATTTTAAATCCTGTTTTCCTGTACAAATATCTGAACATTCTTGAAACGAGATAAATTAAATAATTAGTGGGGTTAATAAAGTTAATATACACTACCATTCAAACATTTGTGGTCAGTACAATTTTTATTTATTATTTGTATTTATTTATTTAAATTATTTTTTGAAAGAAATTAATACTTTTGTTCAGCAAGGATGCATTAATTTGATCAAAAGTGACTAAATACATTTATAATGTTGCAAAAGATTTATATTTTAGACAAATTCTGTTCTTTTGAACTTTCTATTCTGAAAAAAAGGTATCATGTTTCAGCAAAAAATATTAAGCAGTACTGTTTTCAACATTGATGATTTCTTGAGCAGCAAATCAGCATATTAGAATGATTTCTAAAGGATCATGTGACTCTGAAAACTGGAGTAATGATGCTGAAAATTCAGCTTTGCCATCATAGGAATAAATAACATTTTAAAATATAGTAAAATTAAAAAAAGTTATTTTAAATTGTAATAATGTTTCACAATATTACTGTTTTTGCTGTGTTTTTGATCAAATTAATGCAGTCTTGGTGAGCAAAAAATAAAAATCTTACAGACTTTTGAATGGTAGTGTATGTAAACATCCTTAAAACAAGATAAATTAAAGATAAGTTAATATACATTTACTAGGGAAGAAAAAATTACATGAAATATTAAGGCTCATTTTCAGGGAATGTCTCATTATTATTTATTTTTCTTACCCCATTGGCAATATTTTCTTGTTTTAAACCTACACTTCACTATAAACAAAGAGTGAAAAATTTAAGGGGGTCTGAATACTTTCCGTACCCACTGTATATTCTGAAAAGTACCATTGGGACCAACAAAACACATTATTATTTAAATTAATTCAAGTGTCTGAGGGAGGTTATTTTGAATAGTGATGGCAAACATGTTGAATTGTTGAAGACACTCAAACAGGTCACACGCTCTTTGCTAAATATGCAAATTTGAAAACTACCCCAAGTACAAATAGTATGATTAGTGTAAAACACGGAACAAGATAACCCAAGATTGTTAACTCGGGGTTAACAATTTCAAGTGTGAAATGCCTGATAAAGTGACAGAAACATGAAACACGAAGGACAACACCAGTTTAAACCAACTGTCTCTTTTAAAGTGATGTACAGATAAAACATTTAAAAGCCACAAAAACAAATCCCTAACAGCTCGAATAAATCCAGAGAAAATCCAATCCAGATTTTCTGTGTCTGCCCCATGAACTCTCAAATCGTTCGTTTTATGTGACACAACGAGCAGATTGTCAAGGTGCGTGTGGGGAGATGAAGCGAGGACTCAAGTGCAGGAGAAATGGTTATTTATTTTAATAATGAAAATGAAACAAAAAAACAAACTCAAACCACCCCGAGGGGGAAAAACAGACAGGCAGGCTCAAAACTGCACTCCATGCAGACATATAACACACACAATAAGAAATGACGGATCAGCACAAGATGATAGACACCAGGAGAATAAATAGGAACCAAACGAGGAGGCTAACGAGGGAGACACAGGTGGAGCAACTTAAACAATAACGAGGTAACAAGATGGGAGGGGCCAGACAATAGACAGGAGAGAGCACATGGCAACAGACAAACACAACACAAGCCATGTGCTCCCAGAACACAGTCATCTGGTGGCCCTCCTGGGCACACCCGCTGAAGACTGTGACACAGATAAACTCCATATTGTCTAATATAACCAAACCTAGTGTCACTGATCCTTTTTCAACAGACATCCATCTGGCAGCTCTGTAAAAAGACATAGTTGTATAGATAGCCTGAACCCCCATTGTAAAACCTGCCATGAGACAGAGCGCAGACTCTCCCTCCACCTGCGGTTTATCAGGAGCGCTGGAGACGGAGAGGCCGAGTTCACATTACAGCCGTAAAGCCAGTGACTCAGAGCCCTTCATGAGATATATGCTTCCTCAAGCCCATCACAGTCTCTCTGATTACAGCCCAACCTGCCAGTCATTTTATCCCTCTGTGTCCAAAGAGGACAAAGAAGAATGAGGGTGTTAAATACATCCCAGGTCTGAGATTGAATTGACCCCCGGTTTTCACTCAAATGTTGCTGTCACTCAGCAGTGTGAACCTAACCCATCTGTCATGAAGAACGGAAAGGCAACACAATAGGTTTCAGGGCTCGCAAAATTTCAAAATCCCTGGTAGCCCTTTGGGCAGGTACTCTTCAAATTTTGGTAGCCCGAAAATTAATTTAACTAGCCCAAATAAAAAAAGACCTTTTTTTAAAATCAGATAGGAGTTTAAATGTCAATCAAAAATATTTTCAATACACAAATATCAACAAATATGAAGAAAGGAATTTTATTTCACTATTTACAGGGTATCTGCAGAATTTTTAAAAATAAATTTAAGGCAATTTATGACCCATTTTAAGAGTGTCACAAGTAAAATGAACACAGTGTGAGTGGGGTTGGACAATGTCTATGGTAACACAGTATTGAGCCATAAAATTACATGATTTACAGTTCAGATACAGGTCTTCACAAAAACAAAATTCTTATACAACAGCATTTCAGCCTTTAGACCATTTTTATGAAAAGGGATAAATCAAGTATATAAATTATTATGTCAATTTAATCGTATAAATATCACTGTCTTAATTGTTTAGATTTTTAGAAGGCACATGAACTTTTTTCTCATTTACAACTCTGTGTTTGCTGCGTAAAAACATGAGTTGATATGTGCATTGATCTGACCATAAACAGCAAGAAAGGCTTATTGGAAATGCAAATTCATTCTCTGCCACGAGGTGGCGCTTTAGGAGCGCTGAAATATTGCGGTTTCCCCGGTAACGGCTGTACACAAAGCAGCTCCGCGCTCATAAATGCTGCTTTATCAGGAATTATAGGTCAAATGAAATTAAAATGCCAACGACACGTTTCTGAGGA